CAGGCTGTATCATAGCCTGCTCTGTCCGACTCTCAAGTAACTTAACTATAGTTTTGGGGTTTTCTAGGAAAGTCAACACCAAGTCTTAGGATTAATTTTCCCCTATAAAAAGATGATGAAGCCACAATGTTAGAGACTTTCGTTCCACCCGGATTTGAGCTTAAAATGTTAGAGAGAGAAGGCCTTTTCTCAGTCAATCCTACTTGTCGTGGCATTTCTCCTTGACAAGCCTGAGGGAGTGGCATTCTAAGCATCCGAGAGGAGCTAGTTCGCTGGGGGCAGTTCTTGGTGGCCGAGGGAAGCATCTGGTAGTGCACGTTGAAGGCTTTCTCTCCTCCCCTTAGTTCTTTGCTTTTATATTTTGTCATTGGGTTGTAAGGAACGAATGAAACTTGCTTTGTGCTTGTTTATTTTGAACCCCACCATGACCTAATCCTATTTGGTGGGAGTTCGCTTGGATGTTTAAGTTTTTATTTCAATGAATAGTTGTTTTATATGCTTTAATCTGTTTTGTTTATGAAACTTAATGCCTTAAGGTTGTAGGAGCTACGAGAGTAGTCTTTCCTTAGGAGGTTTTTAGGGTTCGAGAGAATTTCTTGGCAAAATATCCTTATTATTCGAGAGAAACTAGGGAGGAACTACATAAACAAGGGGTTCTAGGTAGTAACTAGGCCTAATCCACCTTAGAGATAAGGTTAGGATTTCATTCGACTAAAATGAGTTGTGCAAGAACGATAGGTTAGATGTTAATGATGCCGTAAAAAGGTATTACCGAGACATATCCTGTTATCTAGACCAATAAGATCACTGCAGGGCTTTACACCAATTGGTTTTTCAAGAGCATCTTTAATCTGTCGAATCCCTTACTAGAGATAGCATAGGGCACCTTAGTAGACTCTGTCGGGCAGGCTAGGCTTAGAAGAAATACCATTCGGAGAAATAGACTTAGATTTTCCCAGTGACTCCCATTACTCATTCCCATAACAGATGTTCGTTAAAATATTTTTCTATCAAAAGGGGACTTAGGCAAGGCTGCCCGCTGTCACAATTGTTGTTTAATGTTGTGGGCGAGGCTCTTAGTGGGCTATTTATAAAAGTTGTTGAACTCGAAGTGTGCGGATGGGTTAATATTGGTTCTACAAGATTGGGTGTCTTTCACATCCAATTCGTTGACGATCTAATTATTTTCTCGGAAGTAAAAAAATATAAGATTAAAAATTTGTTTCGAGTGCTAAAATTTTTTGAGGTTGCAGTTGGTCTGAAACTTAATATGCAGAAGACGAAACTAGTTGGTATAAATGTCGATGATTGCAGAGTTAAAGCGTGGGATGATTCCTTGTTGTGCGATTGGGCTAGGTTCCCTACGTCCTATTTGGGGCTTCCGTTGGGTTATAAAAGAAACCTTAAGTAAATGTGGTAGTCGATCGTGGATAAAGTCAGAACTCGTCTCCAAAGCTGGAAAAGTAAGTTACTCTCTTTCGGGGGAAGGGTTACGCTAATTAAATTCGGGTTGGGGAATTTACCGCTATATTTCATGTCTTTACTTTCTATGCCTAAATCCATAGCAAAATTGATTAATAAGTGTGTTGCTAGATTTCTATGTAACGTTAAGAATGATAGAGGAATTCACTGGATAAAGTGGGATTTGGTTTGTGGTCTGAAATCTCATGGTGGCCTAGGTTTTTTTTATATTAAGAATAGAAATCAAGCTTTGTTGAATAAATGGATTTGGCGATATAGTGAGGAGAGCGAAAGTTATTGGAAAAAAAAGTTATTGTTACGAAATATGATTATGATCCGCAATCGATTCTACCAAATGGTTCTTACTATCGTAGGTCGAATAGAGTTTGGCATAATATACTGCATCTGGTGTTGATGAATGATGACAACTTCGCTTCTGATGTTAAGTGTGTCAACATTGACTTCTGGTTAGACCATTGGACTGAAGTTCGTTCCTTAAAAGAAGCTTTCCCTAGAATATATGAGATGGCTATTAAAAAAAGGGCATGATTTGTGAGTTTGGGAGTTGGGAAAATGGTGTTTAGAGTTAGAGGATCGATCTGAGGCGAGGACTGTTCGAATGGGATGTGGCGATCTATAATCAGTTTATTCGAGTTCTAAATAGAGGTGTTGGTATTTGTTCTGGTCAAGATAGACTGATGTGGCTTGGTGCTTCCAATGGTAAATATTGCTCCAAAAATTTCTGCATTAAACAGGCTACGGTTGGCAAGATAGAAGACCCTATTTGGAAGATGGGTTGGAACAAGTTTGTTCCCCCTAAAGTTGCAGCATTTGTATGGAAAGTGGTGTATCATCGGTTGTTAGTTGCGACTGAACTGAATAAGAGAGGGATTATTGACAATAATCATATCATTTGTTTGAGAAGTGTGGAAAAGGTGGTATAAGTTATGGAAAGTTAGATTTATCTTCCCTGGTAATGTTAAACTTCTTCTTGCGATGTGGTTGTCACAATTTATAAGAAGGAAAGTGAAGGATTTATGGAGAATTGGGGTTTTTGGTTTAATTTGGCAGATTTGGTTGTGCAGAAATAAAGCTAGGTTCAATAATTTGTCATTTACAGTGGATCGGATATTCAATATGGTTCTACTACAGATTAGGGTATAGGCTAATATCGTTTGGCCATCCTTAGTTCCTCAAGGTATTGATTTTGTGCATTGTCTTGAATCTATTATCTATGGTATTGAGTGTTGGTGAAATTGTTGTCATTGTTCTATTTTTTTAGTATTCATAGTTACGCTTTAGTCTGATTGTTAGCTTTCCTGTTGTTGATGTATGGTTCAATTGCAGGTTGTAAATGCATTAGCTTTTCTGGTTTTGGTTTGCAGAGTGTGGTTGCTCATTTGAGAGCATTTCTTTGGTCGATGTTAGGTGTCTTTTACAGTGTTAGATCCGGTTGTAATATGGCCTATGGTCGTTATATGTGGTTCCATCCCAAGGTTCACTCTTTTTCCTCCATTTAGGTTTAGGGTGGTTTTTTAATGAGGTCATTGGGTGGTGTACTTTGTGTGATGTTTAATACAAAGTACCCTCTTTCAAAAAAAAATTGGTTAGTTTGCAATCTTTTGCGTGCAAGACAAACAAAATTGGAAACAAAATGAATTCACTTAAGGGTCATTAGAATCTCATACGCATAATGCCAAAAATAGCTCCTAACATGACCATTTTGGTTTATGTTTTTTTTTTGTTTTAGAGTATTTTAGCCCCAACATTTTTTTTCGAAACAAAAAGCTTCCTCTATAAGTGAAAATCATTAGTTAGCACACGATTAATGCTTTAAAATATGAGTCTTTTTAACCTAAATTAAAACGTTAAGGGCTAAAATGTTTTAGAAAAAAGAATAAGAGACAAAATGATTATTCTATCAAAATGTTAGGAGTGTTTTTGCCCTAAAATGAAATGTTGGGAGCCAGAAAGCTCCAAAAAAATTGAATAGGGGGTAAAATGATAATTTTGATAAATATTAGGGACTAATTTTGGCATTATGCCAATCTCATATTATACAACAAAAATTTCCATAGATTCATGCACTTCATCATTTACCAGGATAAAATAGCCTTATAAATTTATTTTTTGAATGTCCTAAGTATTTAGTTAGAAAATTGGAACTATTCGAGTTGATGAGTCGTATTTTATGACTTAAACTTAATTTGAAGTTTTTCAAGTCGAGTGAAGTTGTTCGAGTATCTATATAAATTTAATTTTAATTATTTGTAGTATTATAGTACGAATTAATTATATTTTTCGACTTTCTCTAACCATATAAAATTTATGTATATTTTTTTCATATTACAATGTTATTTAATAAAATAAATACAATCTAAAATTATAAATTATATTTATAAAATTATATTTCAAAGAAGGTATTTTGAGGGTAAAAGATTGATGGGAGCATAAAGGAGTCAAGAAATTGATGGGAAAAATAATTTGCAAATAATTGTAGGCAAATGATCAAATTAAGTAAAATACAAAGTTAATGAACAAAATTGAAAAGAGGGAGTTTATTTTTAGTAAAATTAAGAATTGAAGTTACATTAGTATTCTATAGTGGGAGCATGTAGTTCAAATTGGTTAAAAACGGATTTAAAATGAAAGATAAATTGAATAAATAAGAAAAACATGCAAAGTTGAGAGATCAAATTAAAAAAATAGAAAATTTGTTACCAAAAAGATGATTTGAAAGTACATAAGTATTCTATGATGATTTAGGAACATATAGTTCAAATTTGATAAAAATAAACTTAGAATGAAGAATGAATTGAAAGAATAAGGAAATTAGAGACCAATTCGTAAAACTATCAAAATACCCAATCAATTTTTCTATTCTTTCAATTCACTCAAAATTTTGAAATTTTAACTCGAACTCGAAAATCAATTTGATAATTCGAATTGACTCAAATAATTAGAATAAATTAACTCCAATAACTCAAAAATTTAAGAAAAATCGATTTGAGATTTACTAACCTCAAAACCTTATCACTAAATGACTAATCAACCATTTATTATGGCCATACATAATCAACAGAGAAGATTATGTAACAAAGAGCATTGGACCAATTAAGGTTGGTTGAAGTGATGAGTAGTTTGATATCGTTTTAGTAAAGTCTTCAGTTCGAATTCTTATGTATGCTAAAAATTAATGTCGGAAGATTCACTTATCAAAGTCAGATGTACAACGTGAAGCTTTGAAATCGAAAGGAGAAAAAAAAAACATAGGCATCATCATCATTCTTTATTTAAAATGTGTGTGAGAGCGTGTAATTTTATACATTCAGGGAAATCTTACTTGAAAGTAATCACTTAAAAAACCCCAGAAATTCAAGGATCGATAATGAAGATCATAACAAAAGCAGGTTTTCCAATATGTAATTATCAGTCATGATCATAAACTGTCATTTTCTAATGGCAGTTGCCAATGATGAAGAAACATGTTTGAAAACCAACTAGAAATGATAACAAAAGAAACTTCAAGTTAACTTCCATATTATATAAAGCTTAGCTCAACTAAGCGATGCTTATCTTTATACTAAACCCAAACACATATGTAATGCAACATTGAATTAAACAGAAGGCCAAAAGCTCAACTGTTGCAATGGAGCTGAAAGAGAATTAAAAGGAAAATAATAGGAAATAATTGAAAAAAAAAGGGACCTCTTTGAAAGAATATCATCCTTCATCTCTCAACGCTTCTCGGCGAAAAGCCTGGTGGCCAGCATGTTGTCAACGAAGTACTCCCTGTAAGGGTGATTTTTAGGAACAAGTTCCTTGAATTTCTCGAACTGTTTCTCAGCTTCGTTTTTGTTCTTCAGTAAAGTGTAGATAATCCCCATGCATAAGTATGGCCTAAAATCCTTTGGCTCTTCCCTAACCAAAGCTTCATAAACCTTCAAAGCTTCAGAATGTCTGCCTTCAATGACCCGGATTTGTGCAATTAATAGCTTAAAATCTCTGAAATCTTTGTTTCTCTTTTCTTTCTTGCATTTATCCATCGCCCCTTCGATTCTTTTTTCAAGTTCTTTCAATTTTTGACCCGAATCGGAATAAGCCATTACAAGGCCGTGAAATGCCTCGACGCGATCTGGGTCTTTGGCTAATATTTCTTCGAACTCCTTCTTGGCTAGATCGAAATCACCGGCGTAGCTGTGAATTTGGGCCTTTAACATTGGCCATTCGGGGTCTTGGGGTTCGAGCTGGATCAAACGGTTGATGACTTCGATGGATTGTTGGAGTTTCTTCAATTTGATACGGACCTCCATGAGGGAGCGGAGAGTTTCGATGTCATTCGGGTTCTTCGATAATTTTTGTTGGAGGGTTTTTTCCTGATCGTGTAATGAGGCACCCTTGTCCGTCGAGGTCTCCATGGCGGGAATTGCCGATATCGAGGCGAGCGCGGGCATCTGGTGGAAGCGCGCGAAGAAGAGTGCGGCAGCGGCGGTGATGGAAATGCAAGTGGATTTGAGGAGAGGCTTAAGCGATTGGAGAAGCAAAGGCTTCGGGGGCTCATAGGACGGAGATGAAGCCCTGATGGAGGATACTTTGAACGGCGACGCCCTGAAGGAAAGGGAGGAGATGGGTTTGGGGAAATACGGACGGTGGCGATTGAAAGAGAGGTGGAAAGGCAGGTTTCGGTAGTGCAGGTTAACGATAGACTCCATCGTCGTAGAGAAAGAGAGACCTTTTCTTTGTGTTCTCCCTGAAACACAGGTAGATGATAAGGAAGAGTAACGAAAACAATTCAAAATCAAACCAGTTGGAGCAACGAAGAAAAAGGTCCCAAAAGGTGCGGTCTTTGAAAACTGAAAACCCACTCGTTTGAAACTTGGGTAAACTATACGGATGGTCCCTTATATTTTAGTCCATCCGAGTTCAGCACTGGTTCCGAAAAAGAGTAGGTTTGATTCCTAACGCTATCGGTACTTTCGATTTTAATCTGTCATTAACTCTCGTCAACCCGTTAACAAAAAAAATATGAGTTGTCAATTAAAAAAAATGTATGTGTTTTCTTCTTCTTCTTCTTTCATAACCTGTAAAAGAGGATGATGGATAATTGACAACCACCAACTTATCTTCTTCTTATTCTTTTTCCACCATATTTTTTTTTCAAAACGAAAAAGAAACAAAGGTTATTCAGCCATTCACCAATCATCGCATTCCATAAGCGCTTGAACTTAACAGTGACATTGATTTTTTTCATTTAAGAAAACCCTTTGTCCAATATTAATAAAGTTCTTACATTATCAAAGTTAATAAAGTATTTATCCATAAGTCGAAGACCAAAGTTAGCTAGCTTCTGTAGCTAGCCGTGGTGGACGTCTCATGTGCTCTTGATGTAGCTACTTGTACTTGTGGTTTGACTGGTTGCAAGTTGCAACGCCAAGACATAGTGCTTCGGCCAGTGGTCCACCAGACGATGACTCCATCCATGAAATGGTATCCATCATTTGAGGTGGTGATCTCAAGGTCCTCACATTTTTCGATGCTAAGCCCATGAAATTGTAACCGCTCATCTCATGACTGTTCTCATCGTATTTGAAAGGAGCAGCTTTTGAAATGTTTAGACGTGGCTTTGAGCCAAGTTTGTGAAAGGAGCAACATTTCCGAGTCCGACAACGTATTCGAATGACACAACTACAGCTGTTGATAAATTGCTTGTCGCTCCTATAAACTTGATAATTTTGTAACAAATTATGCTTCCCACAAGCTTTATTTTGGAGTATAAATCTTTTCAAATGGATTCCTTCCATCACTTAGAAAACAAATTAATTAATTCGCCCTAAACATTGGTCACATTAACACTTATTAGAACTCTTTTCTATAGTTGTCGAGCAGTTTATAACCTTAATCTCCATGCATATATTCCCACCTATCAACTTTACATAAAAATATTTTTTTATCATTGAGTTCAAGAATCTAATTCACATAGTATTCAATCGAGGAAAGATTTTTAAACAATTCTGAGAACTTACACTTTATAAAGAAATGACTGAGGATGGTATAATTTACTGACAAATAATTAGCATGCATCCAACAGCACCCAAGATTGCATGTTAGTTCAAGCACTAACTGAACTTAAAGCAAATTAAAAGGTATATGACAATTGCTTATTTTAGTATTGGGGATGATGACTATATACAGTGATGAAAATGCTTGAAACCTTCTTTACTGGGATAAGACATGGAACTGCATGTTGGAAGCTAATCTCATCAAGCATTGAAATCAACTTTGAATTCTTTCTTTTATTCTCACCGTCAACTCCAACACTAAGAGGATCATCAATAAAACTAGTAGCATTCAAATTCTGTAATATTGAGGACCCCATCAAAGAAGAACCAGAGTTATAGCAGCTTCATGAGATTGGAGTTATGCAAATGGATATCTGTTAGAATAGTGGCTAAAAACCATATATATGTGTAATTAAAATGCAGCTTCATGAGATCGGAGTTATAGCAGAATCGATGGAAGCAAGTTTGAAGAAGAAGAAGAAGAATGGAAGCAAGTTTGAAGAAGAAGAAGAGATTTGGAGATTTGATTTCCAGCTAGCAGAACTTCCGTTAGAGGGGGGAAGAAGAAGAAGAAGAGATCTCTGGAGATTTGATTTCCAGCTAGCAGAACTTCCGTTAGTGGGGGTAAGGGAACTAACGATTGAGGGACTAAAATATATTAAATTGATAATGTAAGAACCAAACTCATTTTTTTTCTGAATTGGTAACTGAAATCGGATGAGACAAAAATATAAGGGACTATCTTTATAATTTACCCTTGAAACTTTGAAACCACTCGATGCGTTTGTTTGTTAATTTAGGCCCTCTCAAGTAGCCCAATCCACCAAATATTTTTGATGAAATCAAGGTAACCCATCCATGTTAATTCACTTTTGATTTTAGGGTTAGGTTTATTAATAACTTGAATTCGAGTAGCTGTGTTTATATATATAATTATATAATAAGTTGAAAATTTTATGTTCAAGTTATTCAATGAAATTTTAAGTTATTCGATTGTATTTTATAAATCGATTTGAACATAAAGTTGGAGTCGAGTCGGAAAAATCAATTTAGCAAATCGGGTTTTTGCTCATCCCTACTTACATTGAACCAATTTAAAAGTTTAGTGGTATAATATATTACTTTTTTTAATAGTCTAGAGTGATTATAAGATATTATATATTCATAATCTTTCTTAGTCATTAACAACGTACACAAACTCTACAAATATAATTATTCGAACTCAAAACCTCTAAAAAAAACAACACTCACTTTAATCTTTAAGATTGTTGATTAGTTCATAATTATATTAATTTTTAATTTAAAGATGTAATCAATACAAACAGTAAAATTCAATGATATATAATACAATTTACCTTAAAAATGATGGAATTGGAAAGCGAAGCCAAGCGGAAGAGAACAAGAATTTACAGAAAAGCATCTTTGACCAATTGCAGAAATGAAGGAAACGACAATTGGGCGAGCCATTGGCAGCTACCGAGGAACTCATAAATAGTAATACATTGTGTAGGCCATGTTGGTTTTGTCAGCGGAAAAGAACGAAAACAAACAACGGTGTTGCGTTATAATTCATTTGATGAAAACCAAATTAAAACCCAAAAATCTTGGGACTGTGACAACTGCGAAACACAGTCCACTCGTCCTCTTCTGACAAAGAGAAAGAGTAGCCGACTCTAAATGGGGGTAAAGGACAAAGTGTGTTAAACTTATTGGAAATCAACCGATAACATCGGATCAGTATCAGACCCAATTCAAAGAATGTGCTACACTAGCAGACGAAATTGGCCATGGCTCCAATGAAGTTGGTCTAAAGCTAGAAAGCAAACACAAAGTCTGCAGGACTGGCAATTGTAAACATATTCATTTCATCATGATAAGGCTAAACCACTTAAACAAGTCTATATCTTGATTTGAGCTATATAGATCATGGATTAATTAAACTAATCCTTATTGGCATCCCCCTTCATGAAACTGTCAAGCTTGGATTGGATTCTTTGCTTTTTCTCTATTTCAGTAGCTCTCTGGTCTCTATGCCTTGTGTAAGCCTCAAAGAACTCCCTGTTCTCTTTTTCCAACTCATTCCACACTGTAACCAAGAAGAAGAAAATAAAGCTTATATAAGACCATTAATTTCTAGTCTTTATATCACACAATTTCCATGGAAAGAAAAAAAAAGATGAGTGGAACCTGTTGAAGTAATGACTGGTTTAACACTTGCATGCTTAGACAAAGCTTCCATGCACTCTTCTTTGCTCATGTTGAATATCAAGCACTCTTCTATAAGATGGTGCACCTGCATACATACATACATACATGATCATCATGGAAACAAATCATAACTGGATGGAAATTGTTATACTTACCATATGGATGTATGAAGCAGAAGAGTCATCCATGGTCATCAAATTATACGAAAATTAATTCTTAAAGAAGAGCTCTTCTGCTTACTACTGTTTAGGTTATAATATCTAAAGCTGGAAGAGTAGGAACCGAGTTAAGAAGGAAAAAAGATGAAGAAGAAACAAGATATATGATGTCACGGGTAGTTGGTTGGGTGGATCCAATGACCCACGTGGGACGATGCGTATGATTGGTGGGGATGGGATTTTATTACCAAGCACAACCCTCTTGTCCGAAGCTCCATTGTAGTATAGTATAGATAGAATTTTTGTCAAAAGATTGCAGGATTTGTTAATACCAATGCAACAAATAGAGAAGAGCAGGTATGGAACTAGTCAAACTCAGATCGTAGCTTGATTGCAAGATCCTGTACCGGCATTTAAGGATTAACCTCCACCTGACACAGAATGTAGCTTTAAAGAATAAAAAAAGACCTTGAAACAACTCAAGTTGCAAGATCAACAAAATAACCAATTGATTTGTTTTATAAGGACAATAGAACCATGCTGTGATAGGAAAAGAAAGAAAATAATCATATTCATGGTGATCTTCATCCATCCATCACTTTCATTTCCCTACAAACAGTGTGGAATCGAAGGTCAGAAGCAGCTGCTTCAAAATACGGCAAAACATCCATCTCGATTCAATAGTCTCTGTAAATGGTTCAGAGTCATTTATTTACATTTGTCTCAATATTAAGAATTCAAAATCTTTTGACTTACATCACAAATAATACCTATATTAACCTTTTCATCTAAGTATTTAAAGTATTATTTTATCAAAATAAATATCTAAAGTTATCATCTTATTCATCTATGTACGTAAATTATTTTCTGATTAAAATAAATACCTAAAATACAATACACTTTTTGTTTAAGTTATTAAAAGTTGATTTGTAATATTGATTAAAATATACTTTTAGTACCTAAAAGAAAAAAAGATTGTATAATTCAACCTCTACTTTGATAAAAAAAAACTTTAGATGTTTAGATACCAAAAAATATTTTAGATGCCTAAACGGAAAAGTTGATATACTTTATACATTTATTTAGGTATTTATTTGGGATATAAAACATCTTCTATTTTCGTTTATCTCAATTCAAAGGGTACATAATCACTTGTTTACGTTTGTACCGTAACCTAAGAAATTTTTAATTTGATCCTTCAACATGATATTTCAATCAAACAAGTCAACTCCCAATTACAATCATGACATGTTCTATGCAGACTCAAACTTTTACTCCCGGATGGGAGGAAAATATAATATAGAGGCAGTTTTTATAAATTCTTAAACCAACTTTTATATTGATCTTCTAGAATAACAGACCGCAAACCGGAAATTATCAGGTGGGTAACAATTCAAAGATGACTTACCGGAGAACGACAAACATGTTGGTGAAACGAAGAAAATGTGGGACTAACAAACAAAAAAATATGAATCGAACCTTCAGGAATGCGAATGGAGTATATACTATACAATATATGTGTATGTGATCAAGCAAATATATTTTTAAGACACAATGCCATTCCACATTTGCCTCAGTATGCAAGGTTGCTCGAACTCGTCATTTGACAAAGATCCCAATCTCCAATTACAGGGGATACCCGAGCCTTCTATGATCTCTTGTAAAAAATGGATGTCTTAGTGCTTCTCTAGCTTTAAGTCTCTCGACAGGATCATACCGAAGTAGCCCTTGCAAGAGATCAATCAAATCACCAGCAGAATGATCCACATGCTGCATTATTAAGTTCTGCAGCACATAAAACCAAAAAAAAAAATAATGAAGAGTGGTTTAGGAGTAGATGGAAAACAAAAAGGCTAGGGTCATGTCCCAAGTTCCGGAGGATATATCAACTTTAGAAACTAATGTAGGAGACGATACAGATGGACTCCAAATCATATGCCTAAATGATTCACAGGATGATAAAGAGCCTTGTCAGTAAATCCAATAAAATAATTCTGCCTTTTGATAATAGTCAATAAGATGAACACCAAATGCAGCAAATAGTTACCATCAATATCAGGTGAGTTCAGATAATTGCAAATGAGTTACAAAAGAAGAGCATACTCATGATAACATACCGGCAGACGGGGCAGTTTCCAAACTGCCTTCAGGCTTTCTCTTGAAGTTTCACCATCAGGCCAATCCAAACGTGCGCCCCTCCGGAAATATTTCTCAGCACGGAAGCTGCAACAATATCAGACAGAGTGTAAGAACTTCCTCAGCAACAAACTCAAAACGAGAACAAGCAACAGTCACTCTTACTCAGCTCTGACCACCATATGTTGGGGTAATGGCCCTAAAACCCTCTCCATCATGGCAAGATGCTCCAGGTTCTCATGAGTTTGGAAAAGTGCCTCACCCTGGAAGTAAAGTACAATCTTTAGATTCCAGCAGATCAATCATGAAAAATTTTAAGTTGGCATCTTATTTTATAATGAACATAACAAACAACATTCTAGCTACCTTAAAATGAGATTTATCTTCTAGAGGCTAGGTCATATTAAATGAGATTTATGTACTTGATTAATCTCTTGCATCATTTTTAATCTAATCAACTGATGACAAGTTCGAGAGGTTTCTAAAAGAGACTCATTTCCTCTTTCTAGAATATATAGTACTCTGCTCCAGCATTCAGTAACACCAATAAGGTACTAACTTATCTACAAATATTCACTTACAGAGCATAGTTCAACCAGTATGCAACCCACACTCCACAAGTCACAGGCATAGTTCCATCCAAGACCTGTAAAACTGACAAAACATGTCAAGAAAATGTGCACACATGCAAACACACACACAAAAAAAGCACATCTCAATTATGAAGATGATGATAACCAAGTATGACTTCTGGTGCACGATAATGTCGAGTTGACACCACATAGCTATGATCCTGGTGTTCAAATGTTGTACTCCCAAAATCAATCAGCTTTATTGCACTCGATTTTGGCAGGTTCTTAAAATAGGAACCATCTTTTGTAGAGTGTGATAAAAACTAGAGCACATAAAAGAACATTTTTCAAGAAATAAGAAATCAACGATGCCTCAGTTTTGAATTAAGCAATCCTCAATTATGCACACAATTGTCAAACAGCATGCCTAGGGAATAGAAAATTGAAGTAATACCTTATAATCTGGAACCTTTATATATTCGGAAGAAACAAGCAGAATGTTTTCTGGCTTCAAATCAGTGTGAATTAACCGCAAATCATGCATAACTGCACGTTAGCAAAAGAAAATTAATTAAGCTAACTAGAAACAAAACTAACAAAACTTTTAATCCTTTTTAGGGAAGGAAATACGTTATAATCATCAACCCCAGCTTGTCTAATCAAAACTAAGGTTTTCGATTTTTTTCAAGGAAAAAAGAGTAGAAACTTGCTAATAAATTAACTAATATTCCAGAGCTTTGCTTCATACTAAAAGGGGTTCCAAGTAAATATAATACAGATTATAAACAGTGCAAGAATTATCCACACACATGCTACAGACTCCAAAATTTGTTTGCCAAGCTCCCGAACAAGATCAATGGGAACTGAACGGTAGCTGTTTTTGCGGAGAAAATCATATAAGCTAGGTCCAAGCCTCTCAAATACCTGTTGAAACCATTTCAATTCATCCGCAAGTTTTTTTTATATCAAGGAATATTTAGGAATTAAAGAGCTTGCATTGCCCCCTCAAATTAATCAAATAACAAATACCAATAAATACTTACAATACAAATATGATTACGATAGTCAAACCAATTCCGTATTTGCACACAACTGCAAGGAATGAAACCACTTATACCATAATCACTTCAATTTCTACAATGAATAAGATAACAAAAAGGATGAGGACATCCTTACCGAGAACCACCAATATCATGCCTAGCAAGTCTTTGAAGAACATCAATTTCAATCATGGCAGCTTCACGATACTTATTTATGGAACGAACAATTTTAATGGCCACAACTTCTTGTTTTTCATTGTCAAAACATTCCAGAACTTGTCCAAATGTTCCTGCATATACGCAATCCACAGACCATAATCCATGTTAATCAACAATCCAAAATATCTACATGGATTAGAATATTCAAATGCTAATCAAATGGAAGCCGCTCCCCATAATTGCCAAACCAGGATTGAGAACGAGAATACTAACCTTCGCCCATTTTACTGAGAATCCTGTCTGCGAACATGAAGAAAAAAAGAATATAAGCGAACATGAAGAAAAAAAGAATATAAGCGAACAATTTGAATATGAGATAGATGGGGAAAAGATGCAATCGTAATCAAGGTGATTAACAACGATGACTACATAATTTCATTCAAAGATATTGTAATAGTTTAATATTTACCGTCCAAAAAAACGATTTAAGCATGTAGATATTATCAAATCCACATAAAAATATACTATGGTAAAATTTGCAGCAAGAGAGACAAAATTACATCGAGGAGTTAGGCTTTCTCCAACAGCAAAAACATAATGGCCATCTTTATCATCAGGTCTCCATGGAGGAGATCCATTAAGAGAAATTCCCCTGTAAAACATATTACTAGGAAATGAAAAATTAGATATCCCTCCATTCCCGAATTCCTGACCGCAATATATTGCTGGAAGAACCTGCAAAGCCAAAAGAACAAAATGAAAAATCACAAGGGAAAAAAACTCATTCCTCAAATCAAATAATAATTTCTTTACATGAAATATAAACAAAAGAAATTATTCCGAGTGTAGATCACTTCTCATTTCATTGCAATTAAATTTCCTATAATATTATTTACAATTTCTGAATCACAATATAAACATGATTTGATTGAAAATATGGAAAAATTACGGAATTTTGTTAAATAACCACATCAAAGCAAGACGTTGAAAATTACTATTATTCTGATAGTAATTCCCCATCATATAAGAGAAAATTCTGAAAAACTTCAACAAAAATAAAGGAGAAAAAAAAAGATAAACTTCTTTCTTTTACCTTAGGAGGAGGAAGAGGAGGCACATCCCATGTTAATCTGGGCCTTTTCCTGGGACGTTTATCCATAATCTTGTGAGGAAACTCTACTATCCTCTGCGTCTCCATTTTTTTCTTTCACTACTTTTTCTCTTTTTTTCAATCAATTCACGCTTAACTAAAAAAAATGAAGAACTCTCAGAATTTTTTATGCAAGAACTCGTAGATTTGACCTTATAATCCAAAAAGAATGGAGAGATCGATCGATTTGGGAGGTTTTTGAAACCCTAATCATTTTTTGGAAGGGAATAGATAGAGATGAGCTAAACTCCTAAGGCGGAGAGGATCTAACCCGGATAAGAGGTTAATTTAACTCTCGAGATTATCTATGGTTAAAGTGGGACCATCTTCGCTGCACTTCTTTTTCTTTTTCAAGGTGGGCCCCACCAGTTAATTGGTGCGTTTAGTTGACGCGTGGAGATTAGTTTGACCCCGAGAATCATTAATGAGTCGGGCTCACGAGAGTTGGTTTTGGAGTGAGATTATTAATTTTGGGATTGTCTCAGGAAATGCAGGTTAATATACGATTAATATATGGTATTACCGGATACATTAAAAGATATTTAATAAATTCGGTTTAGCGCTATCTATTATGTTGACAGACTAATAATATTTTAGATAGAAAACATGAAAAATTATTAAAATAATTGGTAACTGGTAAACTTTGATTATCGGTAAGTATCTATCCTTTTTATAAAAGTGTCCATACTTTCAACATATCAGATAAATTTTATCGATTTTGTCATAATGAAATTGATTTTGTCATATTTTTACTTGTTATATTGTAAAATATTTATCATTTTTATAAAAGTGTCCATACTTTTTTTACTGTGTAAAACATTAATTTAAGGTTATCTTTTAAGTAAGTTTTAAGATATTAATTTAGTAATTATAGGCGTCTAATGATTTATTTTTTACGTTACGGTATATATTATTATTAAATTAAAAACAATAAACATATATATTACATATTTATTATTATCTTTGGTTAATATTGTTAAATTTAAATTCTAAATAATATTTTATAAAATATCAAAACAATCAAATAATTTTTTGCGTAAATAAAATTATTAAATTAATATTGTAGGTGGAAAACATGAAACACTATTAAAAAAATTGAAACATAAATTACATAACTTTAAAAAAAGTATCGATCCTTTTTATAAAAAGTATGAACACTTTCAATATAATAGGTAAAAATATGATGTAATAGGTAGCGCATATATAATGTAATAGGTAGCGTTTATATAATGTAATAGGTAGTGCTTATATTGTAAAGTATCTATCCTTTTAATAAAAGTGTTCATACTTTTTTCACTGTGGAAAACAGTAATTTAAGGTTATCTTTTGAGTGAATTTTAAGATATTAATTTAGTAATTATAGGCGTCTAATGATTTATTTTTTACGTTAAGATATATATTATTATTAAATTAAAAACAATAAACATATATATTACATATTTATTATTATCTTTGGTTAATATTGTTAAATTTAAATTCTAAATAATATTTTTAAAATGTCAAAACAATCAAATAATTTTTTGTGTAAATGAAATTATTAAATTAATATTATAGGTTGAAAACATGAAACACTATTAAAAAAATTGAAACATAAATTACATAACTTTAAAAAAAGTATCGATCCTTTTTATAAAAAGTATTGACACTTTCAATATAATAGGTAAAAATATGATGTAATAAGTAGCGCTTATATAATGTAATAGGTAGCGTTTATATAATGTAATAGGTAGTATTTATATTGTAAAGTATCTATCATTTTTATAAAAGTGTCCATACTTTTTTCACTTTGGAAAACATTAATTTAAGGTTAGTTTTAAGATATTAATTTAGTAATTATAGGCGTCTAATGATTTATTTTTTATGTTACGGTATATATTATTATTAAATTAAAAACAATAAACATATATATTACATATTTATTATTATCTTTGGTTAATATTGGTAAATTTAAATTATAAATAATATTTTATAAAATATCAAAACAATCAAATAATTTTTTGTGTAAATGAAATTATTAAATTAATATTATAGGTGGAAAACATGAAACACTATTAAAAAATAAATGAAATATAAATTACATAACTTTAAAAAAAATATCGATCCTTTTTATAAAATGTATGGACACTTTCAATATAATAGGTAAAAATATGATGTAATAGGTAGCGCTTATATAATGTAATAAGTAGCGTTTATATAATGTAATAGGTAGTGCTTATATTGTAAAGTATCTATCCTTTTTATAAAAGTGTCCATACTTTTTTCAATGTGGAAAACATTAATTTAAGGTTAGTTTTAAGATATTAATTTAGTACTTATAAGCGTCTAATGATTTATTTTTTACGTTACGGTATATATTATTATTAAATTAAAAACAATAAACATATATATTACATATTTATTATTATCTTTGGTTAATATTGTTAAATTTAAATTCTAAATAATATTTTATAAAATATCAAAACAATCAAATAATTTTTTGTGTAAATGAAATTATTAAATTAATATTGTAGGTGGAAAACATGAAACACTATTAAAAAAATTAAAACATATATTACATAACTTTAAAAAAAGTATCGATCATTTTTATAAAAAATATGGACACTTTCAATATAATAGGTAAAAATATGATGTAATAGGTAGCACTTATATAATGTAATAGGTAGCGTTTATATAATGTAATAGGTAGTGTTTATATTGTAAAGTATCTATCATTTTTATAAATGTGTCCATACTTTTTTCACTGTGGAAAACATTAATTTAAGGTAAGTTTTAAAATATTAATTTAGTAATTATAGGCGTCTAATGATTTATTTTTTACGTTACGGTATATATTATTATTAAATTAAAAACAATAAACATATATATTACATATTTATTATTATCTTTGGTTAATATTGTTAAATTTAAATTCTAAATAATATTTTATAAAATATCAAAACAATCAAATAATTTTTTGTGTAAATGAAATTATTAAATTAATATTGTACGTGGAAAACATGAAACACTATTAAAAAATTGAAACATAAATTACATAACTTTAAAAAAAGTATCGATCATTTTTATAAAAAAAATGGACACTTTCAATATAATAAGTACAAATATGATGTAATAAGTAGCGCTTATATAATGTAATAGGTAGCGTTTATATAATGTAATAGGTAGTGCTTATATTGTAAAGTATATATCCTTTTTATAAAAGTGTCCATATTTTTTTCATTGTGGAAAATATTAATTTAAGGTTAGTTTTAAGATATTAATTTAATAATTATAGGCGTCTAATGATTTATTTTTTACGTTACGGTATATATTATTATTAAATTAAAAACAATAAACATATATATTACATATTTATTATTATCTTTGGTTAATATTATTAAATTTAAATTCTAAATAATATTTTATAAAATATCAAAACAATCAAATAATTTTTTGTGTAAATGAAATTATTAAATTAATATTGTACGTGGAAAACATGAAACACTATTAAAAAAAATTGAAACATAAATTACATAACTTTTTAAAAAAATATCGATCCTTTTTATAAAAAGTATTGACACTTTCAATATAATAAGTAAAAATATGATGTAATAAGTAGCGCTTATATAATGTAATAGGTAGCGTTTATATAATGTAATAGGTAGTGCTTATATTGTAAAGTATCTATCCTTTTTATAAAAGTGTTCATACTTTTTTCATTGTGGAAAATATTAATTTAAGGTTAGTTTTAAGATATTAATTTAGTAATTATAGGCGTCTAATGATTTATTTTTTACGTTACGGTATTTATTATTATTAAATTAAAAACAATAAACATATATATTACATATTTATTATTATCTTTGGTTAATATTGTTAAATTTAAATTCTAAATAATATTTTATAAAATATTAAAACAATCAAATAATTTTTTGTGTAAATGAAATTATTAAATTAATATTGTAGGTGGAAAACATGAAACACTATTAAAAAAATTGAAACATAAATTACATAACTTTAAAAAAAGTATCGATCTTTTTAATAAAAAAGATCGATACTTTACAATATATCAGGTAAAAATATGATGTAATAGGTAGCGCTTATATAATATAATAGGTAGCGCTTATATTGTAAATTATCTATCCTTTTTATAGAAGTATCCATACTTATTTCACTGTGGAAAACATTAATTTAAGGTTATCTTTAGAGTGAGTTTTAAGATATCAATTTAGTAATTATATGTATCTAATGATTTATTTTTTATGTTACGATATATATTATCATTAAATTAAAAACAATAAACATATATATTACATATTTATTATTATCTTTGGTTAATATTGTTAAATTTAAATTCTAAATATTATTTTATAAAATATCAAAACAATCAAATAATTTTTTGTGAAAATGAAATTATTAAATTAATATTGTAGGTGGAAAACATGAAACACTATTAAAAAATTGAAACATAAATTACATAACTTTAAAAAAAGTATCGATCCTTTTTATAAAAAGTATGGACACTTTCAATATATTATAATGTAATAGGTAAATTTGTAAAGTTATCGGTATAAATATACCAATTTACTTATAAAATAGGTCAATATAAGCGCTACCTATTACATTATATAAGCGTTACCTAATATGTTATTGTACTTTATAATATTTCCGGTTAAATAATATAACATAACCAGTCTAAATTTTAACCGGTCACTTGTTTAACCGGTCACGCCGTATATTAACCGTTTTTTAGGGGCCCACCGCAGAACTACCCATTAATTTTAGTTACACTAAATTATTATTTTTTAAATCATTATTAGTATTATATTTTGATTTTATTTTGGTCACTTATAGTTAAAAATTTAACTGACTTGTTATCATAAGTTAATGTCATATTATCATTGAAAAAATTATCGCATCATCAGTTTTGTTATTTTTTTAACATCGGATGACTAAAACAAAACCAAAATATAACGTTAGTGATAATTTTGAAGAAAAAAAATTGTTGAGTGACCAAAAAGGAACTAAAGTGATAATTGGGTTATTAGATACATTGTTTACCTTTTTTTCAAATTGAAAAGGAGCATAAAAGTATAGATAGTATTCGATCGGGTTAAGTCGGGTCAAAAAATTAAGTTAATTGAATTTGGTGAATCCTATTTTATAATTTGAACTTTATTTGTATTTTTTTTTTCAAGTCAGTCAACTTATTCTTCTTTTTAAATTTAATGTAAATATTTATAATATTATGGTACTAATTGATTCTAATTTAAATGAATTT